CAGAAGCAAGGTGCGCTGAGTCTAGTGGAGCACATTTCCGAGTGGCTTGCACCGAAAGGATGATTTTTCCCCGAGCCCTGCTCGCACCCGGAGCCAAATGAAGTCCCAACGCTCCCCACTCCCTTGCAAAGCCTCGTCATAAAACCCCTCCGGGTTTCCCCGAAGTTATCCTCTGCGCACGCGCACTACAGACCCGCAGCTCCGCGTCTCGCCCGGACAAAAGGGAGGGAAATCGTCCTACGTCACAGCGCAAGCCACGCCTTTCCGAAAGGGTAGGCGTGGCGGGAGCGGACGCCGGGCCGCCGTCGCGCCTTCTCCCCCCCGCCTCTCGCCGGACCGCGGCTGACGTCATATCAGAGCGCGGCGGGGCGCGGCGCTGACGTCCGTCGGGAAGGTGACCCGGCTGAGGGAGGGGGGGGAAGGTGGAAAAGAGACGCAGGAGTTCATTCCCGCCGCCATGTTGTCCGTGGTTGCCCGTTCGGGCCCTTTGGCCCCTTACCTGTCGGCGGTGAGCCACGCCGTGTCGAGCCCGCTGAAGCCCTTGGCGAAGCCCTTGGCGCTGACCAAGCCTGTCGTCCTCGACCGGAAAGGGCCGGTGTTCGGCCAGGCGGCGCGGGGAGGCCTCGTCGTCACCTGCAGCATGAAAGGTGAGGGAAGGGAAAGGCCGGGCTGGGCTGAGGAGAGGGGAAGAAGGGAAGGGGGCCGGGGCTGGGAGGGCTGCTCTCCTTCTCGTTGTCCGCCCGGCTTGCGTTTATGAGCGGCCTTCCCTTCCCTCCTCTCCTCCGGCGGGGGCAAGGCGGCCTGCGAAGCTCTCTCCTTCATTCCGCCGAGCCTCCTTACGTCTCACCCGGCGAGGGAGGCCAAGCTGACTGTCTCCCCCCTCCCGTCCCCCCCGCCCACGGGCCCAGTGCGTTGCATGGATCGGCACCGGGAGCTGCCACGGCTCAGCCCTCTTCCCTGGCACCCCCCTCTCTCCATCTTCTCTGCCGCCAGGAAAGGGAGATTTCAAGGAGATTCTGGACTTAATTGGGTCTTCTTGGGTGCCGTCGATGGCATTGCCAGTTCACAACGACTCCTTGAATTCGTATCCTCCAGAATGTCCCCTCAGTAGCATCCTTTGCTCCACTCTCTCAAATTCAAGGTCATGTCTTGTTGTAAGATGATCCTCCCGTCCTGGGCCATCATCCTATTTTGTGTGCGCCTGTGGGTTCTCTGTTGTCAAATTGTAACTGACTTACAGCAGCCTTAATAGGGCTTTCAAGGTAAGTGGGATATTTAAGGAGTGGTTTTACCAAGCGCATTCCCCCAGTTGAGCGTCCAGGGCCAAGTGGGGATTCAAACCCTGCTCCCCTCAGTCCTAGTCTGTCACGCATTGGGACCTCCGTCCTCCTGTGACCGCTTGTTTATGCCTGGTTTCATTATACTGTATTCATTTGTGTTGAAAATAACTTTCAAAATTTTGGTGCAGTCCAACTTAAATTGTTCAGGCTCTTGAGGTTTTTTGAATTGTAGGAGAAGAGTGGGGCCTGCCAGTATTTTCTGGTCTAAAACTTATTTATTTATTATTTAAACTTGTAGCATCTTCAGGCAGTGTAGCCAGTGTTGATGGCTTCAACATTCAAATAAATATTCAATGTTACAAATGACCATCCTAGCTGTAGACCAGCAGACCTGGCGAATTCCAGATTGGGGAGGGAATAGGAGATCATGATTCATATTCCCCCTAGCTGTGCAATTCACTGGATCTCTCTGGACCAGTTTCTAGGGAAACATGAGAAATTGCCTTGTAAAAAGTTAAGGCTTTAGTTTTATCTTGTTTGGGATTGTCTGTGGTACAGTGATTAGCTTCCTTGAAGATTCCAGCTTTTAAACCTTGGGATTCCAGCTTTTAGGCCTCTCCCTAATAAAATTGAGTTCCCTATGCATCCTGTATGGAGTAGCATTTTTGTAGTGCCTTTGTGAGTTGGGTCTTGTTGTACTGAGGACTCGCTACACAAAGCAAATCAGAAAGTTATATTTAGTTCAGCACCTTGTTTATAGAGAGTAATCATCCTTATGCTTTGCAAGGGTCTTCATGTAGAACATGAAGACCCTTGCAAAGCAGCAGGGTGATTACTCTCTATAAACAAGGTGCTGAACTAAATGTAGAACATGAAGACAACTTCCAGTGGCTGGGTGATTGGTCTATCCTATCCTGCCTTTGAATATTCAAGTTTCATTTTACTGCTGTGGTTAATCTCTTGTTGCTATTTGTTTTGTTGTCTGTTTTATTGCATTCCAGGAATGGCTTATTAACATAGAAGTTGCAGGTGGTATTCTTTTTCCTAATCATTGTTTTTCCAGGTTATTATTACTACTACTGTACTTCCCTGAAAATAAGACAGGGTCTTATATTAATTTTTGCTCCAAAAATGCATTAGGGCTTATTTTCAGGGGATGTTTTATTTTTTTCATTTACAACAATCTACATTTATTCAAATACAGTCATGTCATCTTCTGGTTGCTGCACAATGGTGGAGGGTGGAGTTTCACTCAACTGGGGCTTATTTTTGGGGTGGGGCTTATATTATGAGTATCCTGAAAAATCATACTAGGGCTTATTTTCGGGAAAACAAGGTGTATTACGTCTCTGCCATGACTGCTAGATAGTACTCAAGGCAGCTTTTACTCAAGGCAGTGGAAAACATTAAACACACATACCAAAAAACCCCAGGTAAATCCAGGCCAAACCTTAAAATAATTAAAATTGAGTAAAACAAGATAGAAACAAAAAATGAAATCTGAGTTCGTATCTGCAGAAATAGATGGATGTAAAAATGGTTGGATGAATTTTCTCCAAAATTGGAGTGCTTTTTTAGGATGCTTTCCCCTCTTGCCTACAGAGTTGTGTGACATATTTTAAAGATTCCTACAAATTACCATATTTTTCTGTGTATAAAATGACACTTTTAACTTAAATAATTAGACAAAAAATTGAGGGTTGTTTTATACACGGAAGGCAGCCGCTTTCCCTGCCTTTTGCGAAGCCACAGGGTGAAGTAGTCATGAAAGGGTGACATGATCGCACACCTTTGATCCTGAAGCAGCCATGAGCATGCCGCCTTTTCATATGTGCTGTGGGGCTTAGGAAATGAGCATGCCGCTGGGTTTAGGAAATGGGTAATGCAGCTGTGAAAGGGTGGCAGGATCGCACCCCTTTGATCCTGAAGTAGCCATGAAAGGGCTTCAGGACCAAAGGGGTGTGATCATTCAAATTTTCTAATTTGTGGGTTAGAAAGGGGGGTTGTCTTATAAACAGAAAAATACAGTAAATTTAGGAGTTTACAGAAGTGCTGGATAATTCAGTGGTTTAGGCATCTGGCTGTAGAGCCAGAGGTTGAGAGTTCAATTTTCAATGGTGGCACCTTGACAGGGGCTGAACTCTGTGATCTGTAGAGTCCCTTCCAGCTCTGCAGTTCTAACATGATGATAATGTTGTTAGTTCTGTGGAATTTTTATGGGGGTTTCTAGATGTTAATTAATCAGCCATGCGGGTTGGCAGATTTTAGAAATTATATGCCTTAAGCAAGTTAAAAGAATACCAGAATGGAAGAAAAGAGAAGGGGGGCAGTGAGAAGAGGGTGTGACTCATAGGATTTTTAATTCTGGCAAAGCCTGGTCCATTTTCTAGCAACCAATGAGGGATAAAGTCAGTGCCACCAAGAAATGAATCCATTCGGAAAGATGTGTCTCTTTGCATCCTTCTTGAAATCAGTGGGACTAATTGCAGTTCTGAGCTGATTACATTTCACAATCTCAGGATGATGCAGAAGAGAGCTCTTTCCCACATGCCTGCCAACTAGGATTTTGTAGCTATTGATATTCATATGCTGTCTCATGAAGATCTTCAGCTTTGGCCAAGTACATAACGAGATAGACGGTCTAATATAAAACCATGTCACAAGTCATTTAGGTCTTTGAAAGTAAAAACACCTTGAATTGGTGCAAATTGGCAGTTAACAATCTGTGTGGGTCTTTCAAGAATTGGGGGACAGGAGTTGGAATATAATCATCGCTAAGCGAGGCACCACTGTACTTTCTTAGTTGCAATTTTTTTTGTCTTTCCTAGCAGGCACATATACATAATACACAGTAGTTTTGTTATGCTAAAAAGAATATGCTCATGAACATGATATTGGTATGTTTCGTCAAATATAAATAGTTTTATGGAAATGGCAGTATGCATTGAGCTAGCTGTCATAATTTGTAGATAAGTACAGGATTAAAAATGGAGTGCCTCTGCCATCTCAGTTCCATGGGATCTAAATCTTGTATGGAAATTATAGAAATCAGAAGCTTGTCTGTAGACAGCTAGTGTGGTGGTGTGATTTGATGGTGGACTTGACTTGGGAGATCCAGATTGGAGCCCCTGCTGACGTTTCATGGTCAGGAGGGGCTCCAATCTCGATCATCAAGCTCCAATCATTCACTCTTGATGTGACCTATCTGAGAAGCCATGTATGCTACCTAAATTTCACTGGAGGAAAGGAGAGATGCATTTAACAGCTCAATCAATGGTTAATTATGTCAATTTGAAAATACCATATATATTTTTTGTTTATAAGACAATCCAATGTATAAGACGACACCTCCCCCCATTTCTAACCCCAAATTAGACAAAGCAGGGATCAAAGGGCTCCCTTTTTGTTAAGCCCCATGCCTTGGCCAAGGGCAAGGAACACGACTGTCAAAGCGAATGCCACTTTTCCTTGCCTTTTGAGAAAGCACAGAGCTTAGCAAAATGACGAGAGGAATACCTCCCTTTCCTTTTTGCTAAGCCCCGTGCCTTCGCAAAAGGTAGGAGTAAAGAGTTGCTTTCTGTGTATAAAACAACCCTCAATTTTTTTTCTCTCAAATTATTTAAGGAAAAAAAGTCATTTTATAGTGGAAAAACACGGTATGCTTTTGTCATTTTTTTGTGTCCTAGCAAAAATAATATTTCTGTGATTCAACTTTCCTTTTCCCCTGCAGCACCTGCTAGTGTTCGTTATGTCCACAATGATGTCGTTGTTCCTGACTTCTCTGCATACCGTCGTGAAAGTGCCAAAGACTTTAATATATCGTCCCAAGAGAGCAGCGATTCTAGAAGAGCATTCTCCTACTTCATCACAGCAGCAACTTGTGTGGGCACAGCTTACGTTGCTAAGAATGTTATTGTTCAGTTCCTTTCCACCGTGGGTGCTGCCGCTGATGTGCTGGTGGTAGGGCAGATGGAGATCAAGCTGTCTGGCATTGAAGAAGGCATGAATGTAACTTTCAAGTGGAGAGGAAAGCCCGTCTTTGTGCGTCACAGAACCCAAAAGGAAATTGAGAGAGAAGCTAATGTACCTTTGTCTGAATTAAGAGACCCACAGCATGACTTAGATAGAGTAAAGAAACCTGAATGGCTTGTAATGATAGGCGTATGCACGCATCTTGGTTGTGTACCCATTCCAAATGCTGGAGATTTTGGTGGCTATTTCTGTCCTTGCCATGGATCACACTATGATGGATCTGGCAGAATCCGTAAAGGTCCAGCTCCGTCAAACCTTGAGATTCCAGAGTACCAGTTTATTTCAGATGATGTAATTCTTTTGGGTTAAACTGCTGGACAATTGGCTCTAGAGTTTATTTGCACACCTTGAGGAAATAGGGTCGTGTAACCTAATCTAAACTAGTTGTTAAGATACTGCTTGCTGTCCACAGCCACTTTGCAGCCAAAAATATTTGTTTGCATATTTCATCAGTTTTAATAAAGGATTCAGTTGATGTCCTAGTGATGTAGCTTGTGTGTATTTGTAAAAACAATTTAATGTTTTCTAACCCAAGTTAAGTTATTTTTAATTTAGTTCTTCCAAACTCCTTGAAAAACTGGCATTCCCAAAGTGATACCATACAAGGGAAAATCCCAGAAGCTTAGGTTTTTTTTTCAACAAGTGTGAATGGTAGTGAGCCCAAGAAGATATCCTGTAGACCAATGTTCACCAACCTTTTTTGGACCACGGACCAGTTGAAGGGTATGGACTTGAATGCGCGGACCTGTTTGGGGCAAGGGCACCCCCTGTGCTCATGGGTGGGCGTGTCACCCTCCAGGTGGGCGGGTTGAGCTTGTGCGCATGAGCGGCACACCCCTCACGCTCGTGCATGACACTCCCAACTCTTGGGCGAAACCAGGGGGGAGGCAGGCTTGCAAGAGAGAGCGGCCGGGCTGTCAGAGCTGTGTGGAGCCCTTCTCGCCTTGCCCCATTGACCTGCGCTTCCGACTGACAGAGCCCGGGAAATTCAAAAGACCTCCCCACCGGGCTCCTGCTGAGGGGTCTCCTTGTTGCTGGCTTTCCAGCCAGGCTGGAAAGCCAGCAGCATGAAGAGACTCTGAGGCTGGAGACAGCCCCGGGGGGAGGCAGGTTCTCAAGGGAGAGGGGTTGAGCTGTCAGAGCTGTGTGGAGCCCTCCTCGCCTTGCCCCATCGCCCTGCTCTCCTGGCCAACAGAGCCCAGGAAATTCAAAAGATCTCCCCACCAGGCTCTTGCCTCCTGCCGCAGGGTCTCTCTGTGCTGCTGGCTTTCCAGCCAGGCTGGAAAGCCAGCAGCACGGAGGGACCCCGCAGCTGAAGACAGAGCCCGTGGGGAGGCCATTTGAATTTCCCGGGCTCCTGTCTTCAGCCGTCTCTCCATGCTCCTGGCTTTCCAGCCGGGCCTCGGGAGGCTGTGCCGCTGTTTGTGCAGGCGCGCACAACCTTTGCAGGGGTGAGTGCATGTGGGGGGGAGGTGTGTCTTGGTGGCCTGGTCAGGCTTAAGCCACTGACCAGCAATGGACTGCGGACCAGGGGTTGATGACCTCTGCTGTAGACCATCTTGACTTCTGCCATTGGTGGTGTCAGCATTCAGGCTGTCCTTTGCTATGTGAAGTTTGGCATCCTTTTTCATGCTAACAGTGCAAGCGCAATATTGTGCAGCAATATCAGGCCATTTCCTGGATTTCTGGATCGTGGATACAGAAGCACAATATCCCACGTTCATAAACTGCAGTTTTTTGGGTTTTTTTAAGAATTGAGCTTCCCAGATTTTTAAAATGAGAGTTTAAATATGCATACACTACACACAAATTCCAAAAGAATTTTACCTCATGTAAAATTACCCAGTGATAGAGAATTCCAGAAGATGAGCACATGGTCTGTCCTAGAGATGGGCACAAACCTCAGTTCAGAGGTTTGTGCTGGTTCATATGTGCAGCACCTTTCATGTTCCCTCTCCAGCTGGATACCCCATTCATCAGCTGGCACATGCTCCTCTCCTCTTTAACTGTTCAACCAATCTCTGGCAGGAGTACAGGCTTTCCACCCTGCTCCACCTTCTTGGCTGATGGACCACTCAGACAAGGAGGCAGGAAAAGCGAACTTTTGCTTCAGCCGGGACTGGTAAAACAACTGAGGAGGAGGAGAGGAGCACGATGACTGGTGACTGGGTCATTGACTAGGGACTCTCTTTTTTTGGCTCCTCTACCCCAAAATAGAGCAATGGAAAATGCAGAAAATCTCATAATCAAACCTAGTGGGAAGAAAGCTTGATGTGTTGTTCTCAGATGAGTGACATCCCTGATTCAGACTAACTTCTAAACATCTGAACAATCATGTTCATGCAGGTTAAAAACCAGCAAAACATGATTGGATTAAAAAAAAAGAATTGGTTAAGGCTGTGCCTTGAATTGTGATCACACTGTCTAGATTTATGTGTAAATAAAACTGAATTTTAAAAGGAAACCTAACCTTTGTCCAGCAGGCTTTGAATGAAAATGAAGTAGTATTTTGATGCTAAAACAGATTTTGAGCCTAGAAATGCCTTATGTTACAAATAGACATTTTTTACAAATATAAATTTTACTTCTCATTTAGAAGTCAGTTTCTTTCGTTTGAAGGCTCACTGATGAGTAGGGAACAACCACTATGTTTTCATTTTGCAGGCTCTGAACTTCTTCTGACACATTAAAGGAATTGATAATCTCGGCTTCATGTATGTAAGTCTAGGCTTGGGAGAAGGTGAGAAATAGTGAAACAAGAACAATTTCCTTATCACAAGAAAAAAAGTCATTTAAACTGAATCAGAGTTTGTTAAGAAAAATACAAACTGAGTTATGGGAAGGACCAATTCACTGGTTACATAATGCAATTTACAGATCCATAAGCGAGACCTGAACAATTTATGGTTTAACAAGTCTTCCAAATCTACAGATGGTGCTTATTTTTAAGATATGGCCATCACTTCCTGAATGTCAGGATGAAATATTTATAACTTTAAAAGCACAGATAGATTATGCAACAACCATACTTCAGTTCTTAAGAAGTTAATTTTCCCACTTGTTGCTTCCGTTCTAGTGCATTAGCTGTAATCTTTGATGTTATTGCTATAAAGGCCTGTGATTTCAGTAACATACAAGAACCCCTAAAGCAACTCATAACACCACGAACCTCAAGATTGTTCTAACTGCTGCTGGATTTGTCTACTCCAATAAGAAGAATAGAGATCATGTATAGGATATTTTCCACAAAGGTGCATTGTCCAGCGTCCTTCGGTATCCGAATTATGCATATGAAAAAATACAGGAGCTGAGAATTCAATTAGGAATAAATTTTTAAAAGTCTGTTAAACTAAGACTCTTGTTCGTGTTTGGAGAGGATATGCTGTCTCTCAAAAACACATTCATGATGCAATAAATATTATATGTATGTCCAATATATCCACACAGCCACCAGCAATGTCTAACCTTTGTTACAAACTTGAACAACGTCAAAAATTCAGTCTGTCCATCTGAAAACCACTGTAGGAGCAGCACAATCTCATGGTGTGTCCACCGAAAAGCCATGGCCTCTTGTTACTGCTCACTGCACTGACATTGGAACACAGTTCCAGGCAATTGGCCTAATTCATTTTATCTGAACAAATTGTGAGTGATGATATCTCTGTAATGAGTAATTCTAGAAAGATTGATCTTCATGATGTTTCAGCGACTAGCAGCTGGATTAGGGAAAGTACCATAATGCTAGTGGATGATTATTTAAAAAAATGCCTTGATAAAAAGCTTGCAAAGAATTTCTTTGACAGTGGCCGTTTTGCAAACAGGTAATGAAAGCGATGTTCTCTTTTTATGAACTGGTCTGCCAGTTAACAATTGCAATACAGTGGTGCCTCAATTTATGACCATAATCCGTTCCAGAAGATGGACGTAACTCAAAATGGTCATAAGTCAAAGCACCATTTCCTGTAGGAATGCATTGAAATGCAAAAAAACTCCATTCTGGCCGAAGAAAAAAATCACCAAAAAAAAATCTGCAAGACTCATTGGAAACACGATTAATCCCTTCCGGCCAAAGGGGGGGGGGGGAAGGAAAAAAACAATCAAGTGTGCAAGTCCCATTGGAAATGCACAGAAAACAAACAGAGCAGATCGGAAATGCACAGAAAAAGGAGGCAGGTCGGAAATGCAAAGAAAACAAAGGAAAAAGCAAGGGAAGCAGGCAGGACCCATTGGAAATGGGGAAAAACTCCAAAAAGCAACAAAAAACCCCATCGGAAATGAGGGGAACCCAAAAAACAAACCAACCCCCCAAGACCCATCACAGTACAGAAACATAACCCCCCCCAGCCCAAAACCATGCTGCAAAAACACCCAGAACAGTTTTTAAAAAGCAGAAAACAGCACATAGCTTTACCAGGCAGCTTGAAGCCTCCCTGCAAACACGTTCAGAAGCAGCCAAAGCTGGTCGTAACTCAAAATGGTCATAAGTAGGGACATTCGTAAGTCAAGGCACCACTGTACCAAGAAGCGAGCAATGAAGTTATTTTTGAGGAGCTGAGAGAAAGAGGAAAATTAACTATTCATCAAAATGCCAGCATCATGAAATATGTAAGTGATCTGTCTCCGGATGAATGTGCATGGTGCGTTGTATATGTTATCACTGAAACAGCATTGACTGGAGAGGAAAAAGGATTCTAACAGCTTGAAGAAAGCAATTTGAGGTCTTAGAACCAGGCACAGATCTATTTTAAAAGCCTGGCTCTGCTTTGATCTCCCCTTCAAAGAGGCTTTGCCTAACCACTTTTCATACACATTAAATTTTTCCCACCTGATATGAGGACAGAGACTGTAATGCACAAAACTAAACCCCGATAACCATGTAGCGACAAGAAAGCCATGCAAGTCAAGACTGACCACTTCTACCCTTCAATGTGACTTTACAGGCACTTGATTTCAAGCAAGCCCACTTTTATTAGTAGCCAAATGAGGTCCCAGCCGACCGGCATCTCAGAAAAACAAAACTGGGTTGAAAAATGCACTGGAAAATTCTATGAAGGCCCCAAGTAATATTTCATGTATTTCTTGTAAAATTGGTTGCAAAAGATAAGGTTACTGAATCTTCTCAGGTACACCTTGTTTCACACAATTTGACAAGTTGCAGGTCAAATGTGGTTAGAAGCTGGAATCCCATCAGTGCTCCAGAGACACTGACTAAGCATTTGTACTTGCAAATAAAGCTTGACCACTGGCAAAGCAAAACTTATTTTGCAAACTACAGGAGGTAGTGGTGGAGGAGCAAATCCCAGTGTGACAATCAGACGTTTCCAGCATTTGAGGAATTAATTATAGGTTGTGTGTAATGTATAGTGTGCCATACACAACTGAATTGATTCGGCTTGTCTACTTGTAATAGCTCCTAGAGGGAGAAGAATGTAGAGTGGTCTCACCTCTTTGCTGTGTGCCTCTGCTTTCCTTGGAACACTCA